TATATACATTCTTTGTATATAATATGTATTCATATATGAATATATATACATATTATATACAAATGTTATAATATTATAAAATTAGGAACAATATTTTTTATTGAAATTCCTTTAATAAAAAATGGAAATCTAAAATAAGAATTAAGTTCTTAAATTTAGAATCAAGTTCTTAAAATAAGAATCAGGTTCTTAAAATAAGAATCAAGCTCTTAAAATAAGAATAAAAGTTCTTAACCTAAATTCTTGGATTTTGTATAACATTTATAGACTTATTTTCTATCAACATATTTTGACATAAACTTATATAAATTATTTTATGTCTGAGACATATTTCCCGACATAAATTTTTGCGTGGTATTTTTTTGTGTGAAAAATATAACATTATGTGTCATAAATGAAGCACTCATTGCAATAAAAAAATAATTTTTAACATTTTTCGTTTTGCTTTTCAAGTTAATCTTAATTGCGCTATAAATTTGTAAGATAAATTTTTTCTTTAAGAATATGTACCAGCAAATATGCCATAAATTTATGTTTAAATATGTCAATAAAAAATTAGGTCTAAAAAACCTTATGCCGGAAAAAACAATTTAGATATAAAATTATCTCAAATTAAGTTGACATAAAATGCGACTGATTTAAAATATATTGACAATAAATGTAAAGTTACTTCGACAGGATTTCTAGACATAATATGACGAAACAACATTAACAAACCCTTATAAATCTCCATATTTCAGTTGATGTATGTACATTTATTTACGCTTATACCTACCACGGCTGTTTCAGAATGAGCTTTTTGGAAAATATTGACTTAGGGGGTGTTACTAAAACATTTATAACTTTTAATATATTTGAGAAAATTTTGTTCTGTAAAAAGATTTACAACAACAATAAAATGTTTTATCATGCGACCTTTAATACAATAGTAAAAAAACTTCTTTTATTTAATAAAAAACGCGACAAATGATAAACTTGGATAAATTTTAGTAATTTGAAGTTACTTTTTATCAAAAAAAAAATTAGAAAAATATATTTCTGATAATTATAATCACATACACTCGTTGTTTAACTATTATTAAAATAAAAAAACCTTACTTTGCAAGCAAACCGCATTTTTTGCAAAATTATGAAAGATGTCGCTTAAAGGAGGATTAACTTTTAATTGAGTACGTTTTTAAATATGAAAATAATTCACTAAGTTGATAAATTCAATGCATTACAAAATAAAGGCAGATTTTGAAATATTCAGTCTTAAAATGTTAAGTTAAAGCCTTTAAGAAATTTAAGCGATTACTTTCTATGCATACAGTTTTAATAATATAGTGAAAGATTTATTGAATCAATCTCTTCTCACAAAAAATAAAACATTTGTTTAAATATACAACTAGCTAATTTAAATTGTTTGATAATGTGTTTTTATTCTCATAAAAAAATGTTTTATAATAAGTTGATCCACTGATAAGTTCTTTAAGTAGAAAACGACCTTTGTACACCTAGTTGATAATAAATCCAGGCTCAATTCTAAACCAGAAGAACAGTTTTTGTTCAACAGACTCACAATGGTGACAATAACTTTAACATTTTTTATATTTAAACTGTATCTTTTAACTAACTTGTTATTTATGAGTCTTAAATTCTATTCTTTAACCAGAGAAAAGGTATGTTGAGCAGAGGTACTGCAGAGGTAGAACTAACTTTTGATGATAATAATCGAATGAGCATCTAATATTTAAATTAAATGTTACATATAATAAAATACCATACATTTTTTAAATTAACTACACAATCAAATATTTTATATCATAGCCAACAAACATGCTAGTTGCTCTGATTATAAGTTAAAGTAGTAAGCTATATACAGTTTTATACAGTTTTAACACAACTCCTAACATAATATGCAAAATAGGTGGCACTACATTATCTAAAGATATTATGGGGAAAATTACAGGAGCAATAATTGATTTATGAAACTTACCTAGAGCTCTTAAGTTTCCACCATGTCTATCTTCACACAAGTTCTCATTGTAAGCATTTTCCAGAGATTGTATTGTTCTCCTTAAGATGTTACAATTAGCAGGTGTGTGAGGCATAGAAGCATGGTTTTTAAGAGAACTCAATTCAAATAAATCTGTAGAACTAGGAAAGCTAGCAGCTGAACCCTGGTGTCCCAGAACATCATCAATGAAATGAAAATCTCCACCTAATAACAACCTGACTATTTTGTCTTTTAGCTTAAAATCTGACGACTGAATTCCTTTAATGTCGTTGGCATAATACCCGAGAATTAAGGCAATATTCTCACGACAATCTGAACCCTGATGCATACAAAACAAATGAACATCATATACAGACCCTGATGATTAAGAATTGACAACTTCAATATGGAATTTCATATACTTTCCACCCTTATCCCCAGCAAAAAGGAGCCATACCTCTTCGCCAAAGCCAACATCCGAATTAAGGTGGTCGCGTACATGAAGATCATTAAAAACCTCTTTAATATAAGTTGTCAAATTCTTGACCATCAGTACAGATACTAAACAAGGTGCTTCATTCGCAGATGAATAAAGTGGACTTCACAGTAACATGTTCTTGGACTTCACAGTAACATGTTCTTTATTGACATGCATTGACCGCATTTCTTGTTCTTGTTTTATCTTGGGCTCAGATGGAAGAATCCTTGCACCAAGATTACACAGAATACGTCTTAGCCTACGGAATTCAGCCGTGGGCATCTTTAATTGGCTCTGCAGCTCTACAGCATCAGAAACACTTAACTGCCTAACTAAACCTAACTTATTTGAAACACAACAAAACATAGACTTATCACATGACACAGAATCACAAAACAACATAGACAAATCACTTTCTAAATCTGAACAAGCTAATAATCGAAGGAATATAAAAGCAAGTTTAGATCGTCTAGCTGCAGCATGCCTACCTAACTTAGAATAAGGTTAACCATGTCCTAACTTAATGTAAATATATTTTTTACCAACTATTGGCCTTTTAACTGATATAGTCTGTAGATTACTTAATTTAAATCCACAGAACAATTCAGAGGAACCAATGTTGTCATAGTCTAAATTAGAATCAACAACAACTAAATCCTTATCACCGCTTAGAAGACATTTGCAAATTTGACAACAATTCCGATTTAAATCATTGATTTTTTGATTGTTTTTTTCAAATTTAATTTTTTTTAACAATCTTACATTTTTGGCACGAGCAAATGCAAATTTACGCTGTTTTGATTTTTTTTTTTTAAATAAGTTGGAACCTCTCCTCCTGTTTTAGCCTAATACTCATAGCCTCTACTTGAGAACATAATGAGTTGCAATGTGTACTAAGAGCCTCATTTTTAGAATTTAAATTACAAATTTCAGTTTTCAACTTTAATAACGTCAGTTTTAATTTCTCTATTTGCTCTACATTTGCTATATTTTCAGAAGTTAATTGGTCAACTTGACTACTTAGTTCCTTATCCTATTTAGAAATGAGAATTCATCTGCATCTGCTGATTTTTTTTTTTTTTTCATTTTCAGAGCTGGAGACAGTTGCATTTTAAAAAAAGCTTCGTTTTTTGAAGCTTTATAATTGTTTTTAAAAAGTTTTTTTTTGCGTATTAAATTTTGGCACATATTATCAAACTCATCAAAACTAGGCAAATTAAAATCATTTGGAAAAATAAAGCTCATTAAACTAAACAATGCTTATGACTTAAAAACTGACATTAAAATTAAAATTACATTGTTATAGTCATTTTATCGATGACAAAAATTATTTTGTTATAGTCATTTTATCGATGCTAATTAATTGCTTGACAAATGGAAAATTAAAATTACATTGTTATGTTGTTATAGTCATTTTATCGATGCTAATTAATCGCTTGACAAATGGAAAGTTACTCTCATTTTCCCAACTATCGTCCCATTCAATCCATTCTATTAATAGTTTCCTTTCAGTAGAACACATAATGATAAATAAATCTAGTAATAAAAATATAACACAAACAATGCAAACAAAATAATATTTATTGACAAATAGATGAACAAGATATAATAGGATTAAAAAACTTATCTGATGTTTGTTGATTACTCACGAAAAAGAAAATTCGCCAAACTTTGTTTATTTTATACTTCGAAATTTGTCTCGCTAAGATAATTGTTTTCATAAAATTCATTACATATTGGGTTGGGACGTACAGTATTTAAGGCCACGTATTTGTTTTAAAATGTAAACAATATTTTGTGAAAAAAATTAGAAAAATTCGTTTCTAGACAAGCCAAGTTTGAAAACGTATGTCTTAACATAGCTAGAGGTACAGAAAACAATTTTTTGATTTTCATTTGCAAAAAGGGTTAAAATTTTAATAATTTGGTGCGGATTACAAAAATAATACGATTTTCATTATTTAATAATAAAAATAAAAATATAAATGCATTAAAAAAAGATTAAAAAAAAATAAATAAATAAGCAATCCGCACCAAAAATTAGATAGAATAGACATTTATTTATATATGTTCCAAATTTCAATCATTAAACATGTAGCTATGTTAGGAAATCTTAGTTGACCCAAGACAGGTTTTCCGTAAAAATCACAAAAAACAGAAAAGTGATCCCAAATCATAAGCAATATCTTAACAATATTTTATAATAGCCCGTTTAATGTGAATATTTATTAAATAACAAAAGATAGATTTTTTATGTTTTTTTTATTTGAAGATGAAAGCATTTATAGAAAAAAAATACTTTTATTTTAAAATTAGTAAATTTTTATATTTTTTTATGCGGAAATACTTTTTTTTGTTGATAAACTCATGACGTCACGCTCACTTTTACATAGAGTGAAACAGCCGTGCTACATGCGAAACGATATATGTCAACTTGTATTTTTATTGTTTCTTTTTTTTTACTTAAATATTCTATTTTTACCATAAAATTGATAACATAAGTAGAATACAATTTTTTTTCATTCATTGTTTTATACTTTTAAGAGAGAGTCGTGCTACTCAAGTCAAAATGGTTATAAGACAAAAGTACCATGTAGTTGTGACAAAGATTGTGTGAACACAATTGATTGCACAACCCTTTCGGACGATTCGCAAGCATACAGAAGTTTCATTAACGGTAACTATTATTATTATTATTATTTTATGCATATATATCTATATATCTATAAATTTTGCAAAGTGATTTTCTACTAATTTATATATATATATATATATATATATATATATATATATATATATATATATATATATATATATATATATATATATATATATATATATATATATATATATATATATATATATATATATATATATATATATATATATATATATATATATAAATATATATATATATATATATATATATATATATATATATATATATATATATATATATATATAATATATATATATATATATATATATATATATATATATATATATATATATATATATATATATATATATATATATATATATATATATATATATATATATATAGGTACGTGAGTAAAAATTTCAAATTGTTTAAATATTCTACTGTTATATATCATTGGAAAGAGAATCAATACAGTATTTTAAAGGTGAAAATATTTTAAAAATCGAACAATTGGTTCAAAAGTTATGACGGTTTAAGTACCGATTTTTTGATATATGGAATTGTTAAAGAAACTGTGGTCAAAATTATGTTTTTCCTCACTTAAATTGTCATAACTTTCTTAATTCTTATCAAAATACAAATATCTTGGTGTCAAAAGATAAGTGTGAGAGTGGGCTACAAATTTTTGTTGAACTCTAACCACCGGGCGTATCGGATGGACAGAAGGGGCACCAAACCACTACCTTACCCTAATGAAACTGAACATTTTTTTCAGAAAAAAATTTTTTTTTCAAGACATAAGTAATTCAAATATACAAAAAAAGTTGTTATAAAATTATATTAAACCACCAATTATATGAGAGACGTATGTTAACGATGGAGGTGGGTGCGGTGATGATGGTTTGATACACCCTAGCATCAAAAATAACTTGTTTTCATTGAAATTTTTATCTTTACTACATTGAAATCAATAGTATACATAATAAAACTATATTTTACAGGAATTCAAATACACAACTTGCATTGATGTACGGGAGGGGGGTGTAACCCCCCTCCCCCAACCTAAAAAATAAAAAATAAAAATAGATAACAGAGAGGCAAGTTAAAAAAATATAAAAATCAAAATTTAAAATCATACTACATAGTAAACCCTACCAGTTGGAACAGATGAAGATGTCACTTAAAAAGAAATAACAAAGCATTATACATAATCTTAAAAATAAATTTTATTTAAACTCATATTGCAGAGTTGAAACATATACACTAACCAGTTGGAGTAGATGATGATGGCACTAAAAAAGAAATAACAAAGCATTATATACAATCTTAAAAATAAGTTTTATTTAAAATCAAATTGCAGAGTTGAATCATATATACTAACCAGTTGGAGTAGACGATGATGGCACTAAAAAAAAATCAAGAAACATTTAACACAATCTTAAAAATAAATTTTATTTAAAATCATATTGCAGAGTTGAAACATATATACTAACCAGTTAGAGCAGATGATGATGGCACTATAAAAGAAATAAAAAAGCATTATACACAATCTTAAAAATAAATTTTATTTAAAATCATATTGCAGAGTTAAAACATATATACTAACCAGTTGGAGTAGATGATGATAGCACTAAAAAAGAAATAAAAAAGCATTTTACACAATCTTAAAAATAAATTTTATTTATAATCATATTGTAGAGTTAAAACATATATACTAACCAGTTGGAGCAGATGAAGATGCCACTAAAAAAGAAATAAAAAAGTATTTTAAACAATCTTAATAACAAATTCTATTTAAAATCATATTGCAGAGTTAAAACATATATACTAACCAGTTGGAGTAGATGATGATGGCACTAAAAAAGAAATGATAAAGCATTTTACACAATCTTATTGCAAATCATATTGCAAAGCAAAAATATACAACCTTACCAGTTAGATCAGTGAAAGGTGGAATTAAAAAATTGAAAACATAATACAAACAAAAATCTTTAAATTATTTTGTGTTTAAAAAATGCTGCAAAATTATAATATATTTATCCTTACCAGCTGAAACAGATAATGGTGGTACTAAAAAAAAAAAATCATAATAATTTATTATTTTTATAATTACCTTGCTATGAAAGTCTTATTACAAAGTTAAAATAAATAAACTTACCAGTTGGATTAGTATAAAATATATTGCATGATTTTTTTAATTAAATCATGTTACAAAGTAAAAAAATACAATTTTTAAATAACTTTAAAATATGGAAGCATATAATACACATACCAATCTTGAAGTTATTATTAAAATTTAAATATTAAAAATATATTAAAAAGTTAAAATAAAAAAACCTTACCAGATAGAGCAGCTATAGATGATACTTCAAAAAAAAAAAAAAAAATGTAATGAACAAAAAACTTACTCTTGCAATTACTTTGCCATATAAATAATTTTGAAATATCATAATATAGAAACCTTACCAGCTGCAACAGATGACAAGGATATGAAAGATTAAATAATACAATGACACAAAAAATTATATGGTACATGTAAATATTACATGTTAAATATAAATACATAGTACATATTAAATATACAATAACATAGTACATATTAAATAGTACAATACTGCATAATACACAAAATCAAGCTATATTTCTCAATACTTAAACATAAAAATACACCTTAATCTCTTACCAATTAATGAAGTAAGTGTTGCTAAAGAATTAAAAGGAAAAAATAGTAACAATAGTAATAACAATAGTTTACTAAAATAAACTTAATTTCAAGTTACACTTTTCGTTACATCTTTAGTTAGCGTGTGTCAATAGAGTAAACTTTAACGTGTATCAGTTAAATAATAATCTTAGCATGAATCATTAAATTAAATCAATAAATTGTTAAAATTTATTAAACTTACAAAACTGCTGTCTGAATTCGCCTAAAAGCCAATTTAAATATACTAACTTTATTATAAAATTAAATTATCAGACTAACATTACAAAAAAAAAAAGTTCAAATGACTAAATAACTAAAATAGTTCAAACTTTTCTTACTAATAGTTTGTTCTAAATTGTCTATAGAAAAAAAATAACAATGACTCAATAAAAAGCAAGAAATAATCAGGAATATACAAAATAAACAACTGTGAAAAAAACTTTGTGGATGCACAAAAATCGGTACAAAACACATAGCATAATAAAGATATATAATTTAATATTGAGAGCAAAAGACTAAATACTAAAATAATAAATCGCCAAAAAAAACTGACTTATCCTCTCAAAAGCATTATCTAAACAAAAAATGAAAAACTTTTTTTAGCAAAATAATACAAACATTTGAATAAATCTACTGATCTTAAGTTAAAAGAAACTAATGAATATTTAATGTTTAAAATAACTAACTGATATTGTTGGCTGCTGCCGTAGGACTGCTTTGGGCAGCTAAACAATATAACAAATGTTCTTGATTATTTACGTTACATTTATTATACATAAAAGTTGAATAAGGTTGCTAACATATATTAGTTAAATATGACCATATTTAATTTATATTATTTGTTACAGTTAAAAGATTAACAGTTAATCATTAAAAAAAAAAAAAAATGACTATCGTGCATCTTTTTATAAAAAAGTCTAGGTAAAAACTAGACTTTTTTCTCCAATAACAATTACAATATACTACTAACTGTTGTATCATGATGATACAACAAGACTCTCCAATAACAATTGTAATATACTACTACTACTAGTAGTTTATTACAATTGTTATTGGAGAGACTAATTGTTGTATCATGATCATCATGATACAACAATTTTTTTAATGATTACAATGTAAGATAAAATATGTTATAATGTTACTTATATGTCAGTTACATTTTTAAAAAATTCAACTTTCAAGTAAGGAAACATTAAAATTCAGTTAAACTAAATTATTTGCCTTCAATGTAAAGTTAATAAGTTTCAATAACTTTACATTGAAAGCAAATAACTTTTTTAAAATTTTAATAAATAGGAAACAATATTGTAAACCTTTATCAACATCTTTATTTTCCATTTTATTTAATCTAAAAAAAAACTGAAATTTTATTTAATCAAAATCAAATGTAAACAATGTTTATTTAACCCCTCTGTCTCCCGCGACCACTTCAGCAAAATTGAAAATTAGGTAGGAAAAGTGCGACAAAAAATAGACACCCTGCTACAACTTTTTTTTCAATGAAATTTTCCAGGTGCATAGTTAAATAAAAAACTTAAAAAAAAAAATAGTATAGAAAAAAAAAAGAGCATATCTTCGATATTAATTTCATGTTTAGAGTACAACAAAGTTTTAGACATCAAAAAACTCAATAAAAAAGCCATCCAGTAAAATAATGAAGCTCACAGTAATAAAGATTAATTATTCTAGTTTCTAAAAATAATCTATATTGATATCAAATTCTAAAAAGTTTTTTAACTAAACACGTCTTCCCAACGCTAGTTAAAAAAAAATCTAAAAAACGTGGCACAGTTTTTTAGCACATAATTCGGTTCCGTAAAACGGATATTTCGACGTACCTAATATATATATATATATATATATATATATATATATATATATATATATATATATATATATATATATATATATATATAATATTTATATATGTATATATATATATATATATATGTATATATATATATATATATATATATATATATATATATATATATATATATAATATATATATATATATATATATATATATATATATATATATCTATCTATATATATATATATATATATATATATATATATATATATATATATATATATATATATATATATATATATATGTATATATATATATATATATATATATATATATATATATATATATATATATATATATATATATATATATATATATATATATGTATATATATATATATATATATACATATATATATATATATATATATATATATATATATATAATATATATATATATATATATATATATATATATATATATATATATATATATAAATTAATAGAAAATCACTTAGCAAAATTTTTTTTCATTTAACACTGTGTTTCATCAATATAGACTTATCGAAATGAATTATCAAATTAATAGAACTTCAATTTATACCAAAAATTTGATTACAGGAAGTCACATGTCTTAACTACTGCAATTTTTCACTTATTTGTGTAATTTGCTAATACTATGATAAAAAGTATTCTTTAGAAATGATTACTTAAGCTTTTTTAAAAAATAATATATTTTTTCAAAGGGGAGTTAATGTAACTATTATTTGAGCTCACTTATTTTTATAGTTTTTTAGGAGAAACTTAATTTCGTGCCTGCATTTAGAAATCAATTCCGATTTTTTGTTTAATAAACATTCTTGGTTTGTATGTGTAATTATTTCAATTTTTTCTTGTAGACATAATATGCATTTTTTGGAAATATTGTTATATGCAGGTACTGTTTTAAGGATGGACCAATTCAGTGTAAAATCATCAATATTTTTATCTTTAAATTCCCATATATATTTTGACAGCATGGTGTCTTTTGAATACTTTTTATTTTTAAAAGATTGCTTATGATTGGCAAAACGTTTTTTCCATTCACCTTCTGTTATGCCAATATATTGTTTATCAGGTACATTCTTAGAGGAGACAACACAATTATATACCACATTTTTTAATAAACAACTTCCACTCATTGGACAATTGTTTTTTTGTTTACAATTACAATTTTCTGTAGTTTTTTCAATTTGGATTTTTTTTTTGTTTAACAAAGCATTGATCTGACCTTTTATAATTCTTTCCATATTTTTTGTGCAACTGTAGCTAACTTTAATAGTATTTTGATTAAAAATTTTATGTAATTTATTAGAAGGCGTGAAATGCTTATCGATCAATTTTAAAAACACTTCTCTTATATTTGTGAAAACATTTTTTGCAATATAAAGGGTTGAACCAAATTACATTTCTTGTTCTATTTCGCTTTTTTGTATTTGTTTTTTTCAGGGTCAAATTTTAATTCAAAGTTTTCAAAACCACTTTTTTTAAGGGCATCTTCAAATATCTGTTTGGAGGAATTGAATACATTTTCATTAGAGGAGTTTTGGTTAAGCCTGTTATTAATTGAAATTGGGATTTGTTTTAGAATTTGGGGTAGATGATTTGAGTTAATATTAATATACAATAATTCATTGTTTGGTTTTTTGAAAGGCTTATATGTATTTTTTGATAGATTAAGTGTGACATCAAGAAAGTTCTCAATTTTTAAATTTATGTTTATATCAATTTGAAAGCCAATATTTTGAAAAATTTTTAAAATAGTTTTTCTAATTTTATCAAGCTGTGGACCAGATTTTTTACGCATTACTATTAAACCATCGTTGCGATAAAGACCTATACCATTTATATTGATTATTTTACTTAATAAATCTAAAATATATAATCCAACAAATTTACAAATTTCTGCTCCATCATAACTGCCCATTGTTACACCAAAGCAGTTGTGAATGTTTTTCTTTTTCCAAGTTTCCTTATTAAAATAAAGTAAGGTTTTTCTACAATGTTTTATTATGCGAATTGTTTCTTCAGGAATAACTGTGTGGCTTTTTGCAAATTCAATTGTTTTATCTAAAATATCTGCAGTTATTGAGGGGTAAAAATCATTAACATCAAATTGAATAAATGTACAGTCATTTTTATTATCAATTTTAGAGAACCAATTTATAACATCAGTGGTATTTTTCCACTGTTGCAAATTTAATTTATTTCTAAGAATATTACTACGTATAAAAAGAGAGTTCTAGGACATTTTCATTTTCAAACATATTTTCTGGGCCATTTTCATTTTCAACCATTTTTTCAAGCATATATATTAATTAAAATATATGGATTATTATCATCCATAGTGTGTATAAATATTATAACTAATAAATAAGTTTTTAAATCAGTTTTTAGATTTAAAAATTAGTATCAATTTCGTTTCTATTGTGTAACGTCACATGACTTTTATTTTGCTCTTGTGCGCATGCACTATTTTATAAACATAGTAGTAGCATTGTCCTATAAATGCAGCAAAGCAGATTGTCCAACTTGTGCGTCACCAGAATTGAGTGTCACTACCATTCTTCTACCACTACCAACGCTAGGCATACTTTCAGATGAATCAAAGTTTATATAATATGAAATTGTAGTTGTTGGACCAATTACACTACTTGATTGTTAAAGTAATCCTGATGATGTATTATTAAATGACCTTACAGTAGATCCATTCCATGAAGAGAAATAAAAATCTTCTAAACTTGATGAAGCGTAGATGCATAGACTGTTAACATCATATCCAGAAAATGTAGTATATCCATTATTATTATAGGGTGTCCAAGGTTGAATGACAGAGTTTGTATTGGTAGGAGCACCATATCCATCATAGATGCAAACTCTAGATTCCCACCAGTTTCCAGATCCTCCAACAACATGCATTCTAATGTATTTCAAATACAATCCATTTCCATTATCCATACCATTCATAAGCATATAATCACTACGATAAGTTGTATTTACATATCTAAATGTTGATGAGTACAACTTAGTCAATGAGATGGATCGAGGTATTAGCGGATTAATACTAGTTAATGTTTTTTGC